CACATTGACTGCCTCTGACTGTACCTTACCCCAGAAGCAGCCAAAACACTCGTCCATGTGTTCGTCACTTCCCTCAATTATTCAAATGCCCTCCTCCCCAGCTCCACCATCCAAAAAATCCAGCTGATCCAAAACTCCACGCTGCATATTCACCCATACTAAACTACGTACTCCCATCACACCAGTTCTAGCCAGCCTCCAATGGCTCCCTATCGCCGAAAGGATTGATTTCAAGATCCTCACACTCGTTTTCAAATCGCTTTATGCCCTGGCACCTGCCTACCTCTCCAACCTGCTTATTCCCCAACCCACTACCCGCAGCCTCTGCTCGACTGGCTCTGGCCTCCTGCATGTTCCTCGTGCCCTCCGTTCCACCTTCAATGGCAGCGCTTTCAGCCATTACGTCCTGGAACACTCTTCCTCTATCCCTCTGCATTGCCCCATCCTTCCCCATATCCAGGTTGCCCCTGAAGACCTTCCTATTCAATCATGTCTACGGTCACCTCCCCCTCCCCCTGATGTTGCTTTGGGACACTACCCTGCATAAGAGGCGCTATATAAATGCAAGTTGTTGTTTTTGTTGTAGCATTTTTTCCTTTGGCTCATGAGATACTCTGAGCATCTCATTCAATACTTTAAAAGCTCACTTCCAGCCACTGCTTTGGCACAGCCATCTGAATAATCTTTCCTCACTTCGCTCTCCAATATTTTGATTTTTAATTCTTTAACTTGTACTTTAAACAGATAACAAGCTCACAATCTAGGTTGAACAGGGGCAAAGGCATGTTGCAAAATCAGGGCTTTTTGGATGAGTCCTTAAACAGAGCTCGTGTCTGCCTCTTCAGGTGGGCTTTAAAGATTCCATGACACTTCAATTTAAAAGTAAATTTCTCTTGGTGCCACAGCCAATAATCCCTGCTCCTCTGGATTAGTTGCTCATTCACCTCATGGCTGCTGCATTATAATAATAATAATCCTTGCATTTGATATAGCGCTTTTCACGTTGGAGGACGTCCCAAAGCGCTTCACAGAATACACTGTAAAGTGAATTGACTGTATATTTGTGGGCGAACGCGGCAGCCAATTGTTCACAGCCTTAGCCAACAGAAAGTCACTACACATAGTAGTAAACAAATATGAAACCCATTCAGATGTTTTAAGATATGATTCTAGTTCTACTCAGCCTCAGGCAAGATACTTTTCTATTTGCTTCATCCTAGTGCTCCTACTGTTTGCAATATTTAATTATGTAATCTTAGACATAATTTGTGCTTCTTTTATGAATCATACGGCACAACACATCATGAAAGAACCAAAGTACATTCCTGAAGATTAAAGTCAATGCTTTTAACTCTTGCGGTAAATTCTGACGCTGCAAAATGTTCTTGTTTATCAAGCAAGGACGATTAGAAGTCAAAAGGGTCTCTGGAACAATATTCAGCATGGAAATAATGACCTAGATATATTGAAATGCTCGTTACTTTCAAGTACTTTATATGCATGAAAAAAAATCAGCAGCCAGGACACAAACAGCTGAGTTTTGACATCTGTGGCATCAGTGCAGAGTTTATTAGGAGCAGAGTAACCAGCTGGAAGAAAGGTGATCATCAAGGGCACTCAGCCTCCACAGGGACATGAGCAGGAATTAAGAGATCTACAATGCTGGATGGGGCAAAGGCCGTTGGTCAATCAATAGATGGGGAGAAAAGCACACATCTGGCCTGACTGGATCAGCTGTGTGTTTTCTCGTTTAATTGAAAATTCATGCACAGATCGGGCCAGTTGCATTCTGTCCAGCTGAGACGTTGTGTTGTATATTTTTTTCACTACGGTTTCAAACTACAAACCTATTTAAGCTTTTAAAAAGCTTAACTGACTGTTGGGAGGCACAGTGAGACAACAAAAGCTACAAATGGTGTAACTCTGAAATAAAATGAGGCATTGCTGGAAATACACAAGTTCAACTATCATCTGAATAGAGATAATATTCACTACGAATAGTCACTACACTTGTATTAAATTTTGTGAAGTACTTTAAGATGTCTTGATGTGATAATGCGCTGCATCAAATCAATTATTATTATAGATTTCAAGACTGTCCCTAGATCAAATTGCATTTTATGTTTATTGTTATTTTAGATTTATAAATATGTAGCTTTACGAAGGCTAACGGATAAAGGCACCACCTGGCACAGCGCTGAGCCGTACAGAGCAGAAGGTTATAGGCTCAAATCCTCATTTCCGCTGTTAGTTTATCTCAGCTATGGAGCTACAATTGTCTCTGTGCCCCTGAGATAGAAAGGAAAATCAGCCAGGTTCTTGCTCTTGATCACTATCCAGAGCCCCTGCTGGAAAGTGTACATATGTGGACGCTGGGTGACAACAGGATCGGGTTTGGCTGTCATGAGTCTCCCGCATTCAAACAATCTGCCAAAATGCTGTATTCACAATCACAAGATCTGGAAATTAGTGATTTATGACCAGAATTGGATTGGATCAATGGCTCTACTCTGATGGGATCCAACAGATGAGATTCCCCACAAGTTGACATAAGGCATGTCTAGTTACCAGTGGGATTCAATATTTGCAAATATTGGATTTTTGACCATAATAATAATCATCTTTGCCTTTGATATAGCGCCTTATCACTTTGTTGAGTCTCAAAGCACTTCACAGGATATAAAGTGTAGTGACTTTGTGTTTTGTGGATGAAAAACAGCAGCCAATTGTGCACAGGATTGTCCACAGTCATGGATTGAGTGACTACATTATTATTTTTGGAGGAAAAATTATTATTTTTCCCCCTGGAAAGCAATCCGTCAATCAACTAACAACCAGGTTCCTACTTACTGCTAGGTAAACAGAGGTGCATGTGTGTATACGTGGAGTAAGGAAACTTGCGCAAGGTTTCGCCTACACATGCCTCTAAAGTTTCACCTCAATGTGGCCTACATTTTGTGTTGTTTCATTGCCCACAGCAGTGCTTTATTGACATCCGAGACATCTTCAAGAGACAAATCCTGAATTGCAGTAAAATATCACCTTGTGGGCAACTCCCTCTTCTGGCCACTTCCCACTAATTTTTTCCCCATTTGAAAGCCTTAGTGACCAAAACACATTACTAAAGAGGGCAATTAATAGTGGTTTTCACAGTATCATTGTCTTCTGCAGCAAGAACTACTTAAATCAGTTTAAAACTGTATTTAAAAAGATATTCAGCATTTTAAATCAGATGAAACTAAGGGCAGTTTCTAGAATCTAAAAAAAAATGACATTTAACCGTGTTGTAAATCATGGCTCGGGTACTCTACTATGTAGTAAGATGCAGAGGAGTTCAATAAATAGAGTAATCCAAGTGTTCTGACACTAACTTGCATGTGGTGCTGCTTTGAGAAGCTGCTCATAATGATGAACGTTTCACAGATGGAACTGGACAGGGCATCGATATGAAGAACAAGCAGTTTTAAAACACTAAATTCCCTTCTTCTGTGCTGAGCAAAGGTAGTTTAATGCACAGTTTGCATTAGGAATTGTAAATTGTACCCACTCAGACTCAATAACATTTGCAAAAGATTTGCAACACTTAGCTTACCTCAACATAAGCAGAGATGAATGGACTTTAATCAATATTGGGACCTAAAATGTAGAATTTACTCTCTAGATTTGTGTAAAATTTATCAATATTAAATCCTGACAGTAACTGAGTGATTGATAACTGATGTCACTGTTGGAAACTATCCTCTGACTCAATCAACTTATAACAATCCTTGCATTTGATCTATTTCCTTTGCTTAGGGCATCTCAAAGCACTTCACAGGAATTACTTGAAAATAACTGTGTTTTGTATTTCCTGTCAGAGTGACAGGAGGATAGGCAGCACTGCATTGCTTGAGGTGCCTTCGTTTGAATAATGAGACTTTAAACTGAAGTCTTGTCACACCAATCAAGAGAGATCACGTCAGAGCATACTTCCCAGCAGGTCTGTGTGACCCTCACCTGTTTATTTACTATTGACTTATTTTACCACTGACTTATTACTATTCTTCAAAGTAGACACAATCATTTTGATTAAAATACATCTGTAAGGACAAAAGGATCATTTGTGTTGAGCAGTGTTAAATTGAGCATTTGAACTCATTAATACGTCAGAATTAAAATGTTCATTCAGTTTCTCTCAGGAGGGAAACTTCTGCTTTTTCTCAGATCAGGTGAAATTGCACGTATCGAGGTAAAGGAAATGTTAGCTGCTGTCAGCAAAGTTACTCTTTACTTTTCATCATGCCTCCTACAGTGTTTGTGAAAGAGTTTTGAATCTGATGGGCTACTGAACAAAGTATGTGAGTTGCTGTGTGGTTAAGGGCAGAAAAAGTGCTACTCAGGGATATTTGTGTGAATTACCTCTCAAATCTCACTCCATCATTCCATTTATATGCATCAGGGGCCACCAGCCGCACAAAATACAGAAATTCAGCTCGTGTAACAGGTGCAACCTGTTCTTAATGCAGGGGTATCAAGCTTCACATAGCGACTATTCAAAAAGAGAAGGGATTTTCTTGCAGTGTCCTGGCCAACATCTCACAGATCATTTGATCATTCTTTTCATAGCTATTTGCGGGACAATACTGCGTACAAATTAGCTGCCAGAATGGCTTACAAATAGTCACTTTACTTCACAGCTCTCTGAGAGGTTTTAACGTTATAGGCAACATTTTAAAGGCAAAGATTATTCAAAGTTCTACATCTGAAACAGAAATAAACAGAAGATTTAAAAAAAAGCAAGTCAAGTTGGCGGGTCATAAAAAAGTTCCACCTTCTGCTTCAACTTTGATCCAGAGTATTTCTGGTCTTGAGTATGACTGGATGGTAGTGAATTCAATATTCTTACACACTGCAATTCAATGTTTCAGACCTTTATGCAGGCTGTTTCAAATACCTCAAAACTGGAGGAAACAAAACACACCTGCATATTTAATGATAGCAGTAGAATAACAGGCTTGAATACTCTCTGAAAAAAGCTTTACCAATTTAAAAAATTCTCCATGGTTTGTACAAAGTTCACGGCAGATATATTCACAGAATTGCACTGTAGTAGCCAATACATAGTAAGTTTAAATCAGCGTCCACTGCTCAATGTCCTTTGCTGAAGACAGCTCCAGCTCCTTTGGGTCAGTAGTTACAAAAACGGACTGCGCTCTACACCAACGCTCCCTTTGCTCGCCAATCACCAGAAAGGAATTCTTGAAATTCCTCTTCTTCATCACTGCCAGCCACATCATCATCTTTTTTCCCTTTCAACGTTTTCACCAGTCGGTCCTTTAGAATATCCTGCTGATCTCGCAGATGCTCTACACGCCTGTAGCATTCACTGTGGGGAAAAATCATTTTAATCAATCGTTAGACAAATCCTAGCAACATCAGACATTTAAACTACTGCACCCTTTGTTAGAAAACAATGTAAATATAGCAAAGAATAACATGGAAATCATACAGAACTTTGAGTCAGATGGTGCGCTACATATGCACAGCAGACATTCCGCAATGATGTGTAAGTAATAATAATAAATACGAGGAGTATTATTATAATTATTATTAGGATAGATACAAGATACACATCTAATTTACAGTATAACTTAGTTGGATGAGAAATTCTGTTAGAATCATATTGGTCGGCAGGAACTATATTCTGCCTGTTCAGATGCATGTAAAAGATCCCATGGTACTAATTGCAAAGAGAAGGGAGTTTCTCCCAGTGCCCTGGTCAAGAATCTCCCAAATAAAACTCCTCATTCACTTCATGGCTGTTTGTGGGACATTGCTATGCACAAAGTGTCTGTGATATTTGCCTACAAAATACACATTCAATACACTTCACAATACAGTATATCCTGTGAAGCTCTTTGAGTCATCTCAATAACATGATAAGGCACTGTATCAAATATAAGGATTATTGCTTCATTGCAAGGGAGAAGAGTTCCTGCAGGTCAGCATGAAGTACTTGAGGAGATGCTGGATTTCTTCCGAGTCCAAAACCGAGGGGATCCATTCTCCGCCCTCCCAACCGCCACTCCCTCCCCCCCGCACTCCGACCCCTACCCATCCCTCCTGCCACATTTTCAAACCTGTCTCCCCTGCTCTCTCATCACCACCATATCCAGCTTAAAACACACCACTTTCTCCCATGACCCCATCCCCACCCCTCTCCTTACCTCTCAGCTCCACCTCCTTGTCTCTCTACTCTCCGACACCATCAATCTCTCCCTATCATCTGGCACCGTTCCCATCCCTAAAAACAGCTATAATCACTCCCATGCTGGAAAAATCTTCCCTGGACCCATCCTTGCTTTTTAACTTCCGACTCATCTCCAACCTCCCTTTTCTTTCAAATGTCCTTGAAAGAGTTGCTGCTCCCCAACTTCGCTCCTTCCTCTGCTACCATTCCCTTCATGAGCCCCTCCAATTGGGTTTCGTGCTGCTCACAGCACGAAAGCTGTTTTGGTCGAGGTGACAAACAACATTTTGTCCACCTGTGACCAGGGCTCCCTCTGCCTCCTCGTCCTCTCTGCTGCCTTCGATACTGCGCACCATTCCAATCTCCTCCACCACCTCTCCTCTCACCTCAACCTTCAAGGTTCTGTCCTTGAATGCTTCAGGTTTTATCTCCCACACCGTCTCCAATTTGTCTCCACCAATAGTTTCTCTTCCAGTCTCGTGTGGTGTTCCTCAGGGCTCTGTCCTCAGTGCCCTCGTCTTCAACCACTACATGCTCCCCCTTGGTGACATCATCCACAGACATCGGGTCAATTTCCACATGTACGCGGATGACACTCAACTCTATCTCTCTGCCTCCACCCGCGATTCCAGGACAACTGACGTCCTGACAGATTGTCTGTCTGACATCAAGTCCTGGATGAGAGCCAACTTTCTACAGCTGAATGTCACCCCCACCCTGCCCGACTCCACTGGCTCCTCAGGGGATAAAATTCTAAAACCTCGTCCTCCATGGCCTTGTCCCCTTCTACTTCTCTGACCTGCTGGCCCCCTACCAACCTGTCTGCTCCGTCCGTTCAGCAGGCTCAAGCCTGCTCCAGATCTCCTGCCCGACCCGCCCTACCATCGGTGGCTGGGCTTTTGGCCTCTCTGCCCCCACTCTTTGGAACTTCATTCCACAATCCCCTCACCTTGCTCCCTCAAGGTACGATTCAAGACCTTCCTTTTTGACCATGCCTTCAGCCACCCTCCTACCCCCTCTGCCCTCCCTCATCCCAACCCTGCCCCCTCCCCCCCTCAAGCTCGGGTCCTAATCTTGTTGTTGTTGTGGATATCAGAAAGAATCACCATTTAGTTGATACAAAGCGATCTGCCCTCAGCCCTAAAGCATTGCACAGCAATTTAACACACACCATCTTGGGGGGAGTGGGGGGGAGAGGGGGGAGAAATTGTTTTAATGGGATTTCTTAATGACGAACATGTGGGAACTCTGGAAGTAGGATGTGTTGGAAGTGGAGTTCACATGGATTGACGATTACAATAATAATCTTTGTGTTTGACATAGCGCCTTATCACGTCTTCGAGACGTCTCAAAGCGCTTCACAGAATACAGAATGAATTGACTGTGTATTTTGTGAATTAAACAAAAAAAGTCTACATTTGCACGACTCAGATTACTTATTAAAGAATTCTATCAAGAAATACCACAAATTAATTGAATAGGATTCTACAGTTAGGTTTTGTTGTGGTGAACAGTTTGCTGCGATTTTAAATTTTTGTGCGATTGCAAAGGTTTTTGTTTTCTTCTTGGAATTTTAGGCCTCTTTTACACCTTATATGGGTCTTCATAGGTTATAGACCATAAACAGGCAGCCTGGGCGCAGGCCTCAACATTGCTACCATAACAGCAACTTGCATTTTTCAGCTCCTCTCCCGTACAGGTTTGATGCAAGTTTGCACTTCACCTCCTCTCCCGCACCAGGCTCCACGACCCTATCACCCCCATCCTCACCCGACTCCACTGGCTTCCCATCACACAGGATACAGTTCAAGATCCTGGTCCTCACTTTCAAAGTCCTCCATGGCCTTGCTCCCCCCTACCTCTGCAACCTCCTAAACCCCTACCAAGCTACCCGTTCCTTCCACTCAGCGGCTCTGGCCTGCTCCACATCCTCCGTCTTGCCCGCTCCACTATTGGCGGGTGCGTCTTCTGTCACTCTACCCCCACCCTCTGGAACTCCATCCCGCAGTCCCTTCGTCTCCCCCCTTCCTTTGCCTCCTTCAAGACCCATCTCAAGACTCTTCTCTTCGACCGAGTCATTGGTTACTCTCCTTCCCCTCCTCAGCTCGGGCCCGAAACACCAATTGTCCAGCGCCTTGGGATATCCTCCCGGCGCTATACAAATATCATTTTGTTGTTGTTACTGCATTTATATAGCGCCCTTCACGTGGGCTATAAACAGAGCGCTTAAACTATAACATCCTTGTAGAGAAGCTCCCGGCTGCTCCCTGACATTTCCGCACAATCCAGCACTTGGTTGGCAGTTCAATAATTGAGCTAGAATATTTAGAGGATATGGAGAAAAGAAGAGAATAGGGATTCAAAGAATTGTGATGATCCAATGTAATGGCAGAATATCAGAACAAACTTAACAGGCCAAACAGAGTCCTCTGTTCCCAGCTAGTGGAGCATTTAAGCGCTTTGAGACATCTAGAAGAGTGAAAAGCCCTATATCAAATGCAAGGATAATAATAATAATTGTAGATACTAAGTAGTGTCCTGTCATTCACTGATGCGCCATGTTAAGGGGGCTCAGCATGCTGCGTCTTTATGCTTTCCGTATCTTGTATCAAAAAGCTGGTTTAAAAGTTAAAATAAAAGCCTATCTGAAGCCTATATGAGCCTACACTCGTATTCCTTAATTTCTATTACCTACTAAGCAGCACAATTATTTTTGCTCCTTTGCTAAAACTATAACTCTGATCTCAATGGTGGATTCAATTGAAGCAAATAATCAATATTTGGTTACTTCTGTGCAGAACAGTACACATCACAAGAGGTCACCACCACTGCTCTACTTAAATATTAAACACCTTCAACCTTCAATATTCTCCTGTTTTCTTTTGTCCTATTTTGACAATTTGAAAATACATCGGCCAAATCTGCATTATTTCTTAGTCTTAATTTTTCTAAGAAATGCATCTGGTGTATTAGAATTATGATACTTACACATTTCTGGATATTACAAATTAATATCCCAATATTGTTTATTCATATGGTGATTTGAATCATTCCAAAGTGGGAACTGGCTAAATTGTTCCTGAATGACAGTCTGAAGCTGGCACATAAAAAGCTGTAAGATTAGTGAAGCTGCCCTGAGTTATGCCTGGATCTCTGTAGAGGTCATTCAGCTCCTATGTTAAATCCAGTGACTCTCCCAATTCGTGTCCCAGACAAGATCATCAGCCCCAGCAGAACTGTAGTCAAGAACAGGAACCTTAAGGAAACCATAACTCTTTGTAATGGCTGATTTCAGAATAAGGAAATGTGTGAGAGGACATAAATCAGTTTTGTAACAGTATAAATCTACCAGTAAAGGGGGTTTCTGTCGTGATGCTGCTATACTTAAACTAATCTTCATTATTATGGCAACCGACTGACACTTCATGTTAATAGGCCGGTGACCTTTCAATATCCACACATAGGCACACATGCAAACACACATTGGCATGCATGCAAATATGAGTATTCACACACGTGTGTATTACTGCTTTGCAAAGTTAATTTACTGGAAACAACATTCATTTTGTGAACTGCTTCGTATCCTGATGGCTTCTTTCAATACTTGTAGGCCGTTCTACACAGATGGAAGAAACTTAAAACTGACTAAAATAATCTAGGACACAAGCACGTCTGTAGGAATGCCACAGGAAAACCAGCACAGGCTGACCCATCATGCCAAGAGCTTTGTGCAGAATGTCACATAATGTCAGTGCAATGCATTACCGCAGAAAGGACGGGATTGCCAAGTCAGAAATAGTGTTCACACCATGTCCCCTGGGAAAGGATTAAAGTCTGTGACGCCAAACCAAGCAACTCTACACTATTCAGACAGCTGCAGAAAAAATGGATTAGGCCAGAATAAGTGCTGTTAACTGCCTTTTGTTCACTGACAAGTTTAATCTATATTAATAGGCGAGAGAAAAGCTAACAAATGATCAGGAACTGCACTATGTAAATTAACTGTAAACAGTTGTTTACAGCTTTAACACGAAAACCACAGCCTCAATAATCTGATAGAAAAAGTAAAGAGTGATAGAAACAGATAAAACAGAAGTTCCTTAAGTTAACAGATCTTTTGCAAAATCAAGTGGATT